GCCTCAATTCCTGTAAATCACATTTTTCTAAATCTCGTAGATCACCTTCCCTACCTCTTCCACCAGCTTCCGCTGAAGACGAAATAAAGTGATTTTAGGGGCCCCTGGGTGGTGCCTGGGTGGCAGCCGGTTAAGCATCTGCCTTCGGCTCAGGTCATGATCTCGGGGTCCTGGGATCAAGCCCCTTGTCCGGCCCCCTGCTCAGTGGGGACTCTGCTTCTCCCTCTGCCCCTCCCCCCTCTTGTGCTCTCTCTCTCTCACTCTCTCTCTCAAATAAAATCTTTAAAAAAAAAGAAAGTGATTTTTAAAAGTAGAAGTGTTGCAATGTTTATTCTTTTCTTTGTAAATCCCCTTGTAATGTATACAAACCAAATAAAGAATAAATACTTCATGTGACTTTTTGGAAACTTTTTCTATGACTTATTAAGAAAATATCTGAGTATACCTAACCATTCTACTCCTTCAAAGCATAGGAAAATATCGTGTCATAAATATGTTGGGAAGGCGGTTTGGGTATCATATAGTGACAGAGGGTTTGGGGGTCAGACAGGCCCTAAGTGTACCATTCAGTGGTTACAGGATCGAAGTTTCTCAACTGCTCTGAGCCTCTGAGTTTCCTCACCCGTGAAGTGGGATAAGAGCAGTACTTTTTTTCAAAGGGCTATCATGCGAGGACTTAAGTGTGTTAAATTTTGTGAAGTGCTTAGAACAGCATCTAGCACTTGTTACATGCTCCATAAGTATTTGGTAAGTGCATGAAGTGGGTCCATCTTTCATAGGCTTATGACAGTTATGTACACCTGGTGCTAAACACAAAGAGTGATCCATTAAGAATAACCTAATGACTCAGGAAGATTCATTGTAAAAGTGAAGAATTTGAGTTCAGAGAAGTACTTTGTCCATGCTCACTCAGCTAGTAAGTATCCTGGATAGAATTGGAACGTGGGCCTCTTTCTCTTGCTTACGGTGCTATGCCACCGTGGAATGAAAACGGAGTATTTTCTCCCTTAACACCCAGCTTGATAGTCTCTGTCTTTGGGCTGGGCTGGACCAAGAAAACCCCTTCCGGTCCTCTCCCTACTTTCCCAATTCCTAAGGGCAGTCTCTTTCCATTTACATATCAAGGCATACAGGTATATATGCATGCATCATTAATACGCACAAGTCTTCAGACAAACCCAGATATGCATATCTGGATCCCAACTGATGTAGGTACTCCCAGTAATTTGCTATTATAAATATCAAGCTGTAATAAGCATCATCCTATATATGACTTTTTCACCTTCTGGCTAATTATTTTAGGGCAGATATCCAGAAGTAGAATTATTAGATCAAAGGATATGGACGTTATCTTTGCTCAGTGCATACTGCCAAACTGTTTTCCAAAAAAATTATGCGAATTTATAATGCCATCATTAATATAGTATTGATATTATAATTATTATATTTTTCACATTCACAATTTGTAATTAAAATAGTCATTTATGTATATTATAAATTAAGTTTATGATATTAAAATGTATATGTAAATGTTATTATAATTATAATTTTGGTAGAGACAAGGTGTTAATTAGGTAAAAAAGGTACATTACTTTATTAATGATATGAAATATATCCCCTCTATTTTTATAATTTGTATTTCTTCTTTTATAAATTGTCTCTTCTGTCATTTGCACAGTTATCTATACAACTACACCACGGTATTTCCTACTGGTGGTTAGTGAGAGAATTGTGGGAAAGTGTAGAACATTTCAAATGCACAACATTATCCTTTTTTATTTAATATGGAGACATTTTGTTCAGTGATTCCTGACTGACCACCCTTTGAGCAAGTACAGTTGTAAATGTTGCTCTGCATTTTCAAAGAGGAAACAGGAATTTTTAGTGCATTAGAAACTTGCTGCCACTCCTTAGCTACGTCCTAGAAGATCTGTTACCCTTGCTCACATTGACCTATTCTTCACCTCTTCTTCTTTGTGCCAGAAGAGCAGTCTGACCCTTTGGGGACGCCACCCTCCACCCTACTGTTCTCTCCAACCTGAGGCAAACTTTCTCCTACTTCCCCGGGCCTCTCAGAAAGGGTGAGGTAGCCTGCTCCTTGGAATCCAGAATCATTTTCAGTCTTGAGCTCCTGTGGCCCTCTCATGAGGGTCTCCTCATGTGAAGCCTTTGACTTCTGCTTCTTCTTTGACCCTTAGTATTGGCATTGTGTCTGGCACATCTCGGGTGCTCAGTCACCATTGAACTGAACCGATACTGTCTCCTGCAGAGGTCTTGAATTGACCATGCTTATTAATATCCCAGAGGCTCAGGCTGTCCTTCTTCCTTATGGTCTCAAATAAGTCAGCCTCTTTATCCCACCACAGGTCCCCTCTTTCTACCTGTTCTCACCTTTCCTATTCTAATGGGTCTTTTCCTCATATTTTCTTCCCTTCTAATGGCTTTCGTTTCACCCACTCCTCTGGTTTACCATATCCTGCCTTTGAAACGTGCAAACATGTGCCTCATGGAAGCAAAGCAACTTTCAGTTTACCCTGCTTCTCCTTCAAAAATGTACCGTATAGTACGAATCCAAAATTTGTAGTCCAAATCTAAAAATTCTATACCCACCCACCACCTCCAACCCTTCATCAGGAAGGTAGTGCTGGAGGAAAGGGTGAAGAGCCACCCCCAGCTTCTCAAAAAAGTAAAGACGGTGTTCCCACTTAAAACAGCCACCATTCCATTATATCTCACAATTTCATGGGTCAAATATTTGGGTAGTGCTCAGCTGAATGATTCTTCTGTCCTTCTGACACGGTCAGAGATGACTCGGTGGTATCTAGTGGGCGGGTGAGTTTATCTGCAGAATCCAAGATAGCTGCATTCTCATGTCTGGCGCCTTGGTGGGGAGGGCTGGAAGTGTCTACATGGGGCCTCTCCAGTGTGAGAGCCTTGGAGGAGTTGTATTTCTTACGTGGTGGCCCAGGGCTCCAAGTGTTCCAAGTGACTAAGAAGCTGAAAGGACTTTTATGATCTAGCCTCAGAAACTACAGAGCATCAGTTCTGTCTTATTCTGTTGGTCAAAGCATTCACAAGCCTGCCCAGATGCAAGGGGAAGGGACATGGACCCTCACCTTTTAATGGGGGGAATTTGTGATTATGCTTTAAAACCACTATAGATGGAACACTGTGAACGATTCACGTTAGGATTAGGTTGTGGGTTGGGGACTAACCAGTTGATAGCAGCTGTTCTCTAGAGTTAGTAGGAAAAATGCCCCCGCCCCCTTTACATCTACTCACACTATACCCAACATTCTCAATCTCTGCTTAGCCATCAGCCTCAACCTCATGACTCCACCACAGTGCACTCTCTAAGATGACCAATAGTCTTAGAGCCAAACCCTACAGGCTTTTCTTCATTTTTGTCCTCTTTTGACATTTCTTCTAAACTTGATGCTAGTCAAGACCCCACCCTTCCTTAAATTATATTCTCAAATACCATGGTTCCATGACTGGATACACTATAATTTTACCTTTGACAAGGCCATTCTTCCCAGACCATAACTCTGGGTACCCCTACATTTTGGCCCATGACCCTTTTCCTAGTCCTATTGTTCTCAGTCCCGTTTAAAGTGTACCCTCTTAAAAAATAATTAAAAATAAAGTGTACCCCCTTTCATCACATCCGTATTGCTGACTCCCAAATACCTCCCAGCTCTGATTTCTTGCTCTTTTAGCATGTTATATGTAGTTTCCTGTGGTAGCTTTTTACCTATGATAAACATCCTTCTCTTCAAATAATTCCAAGACTCTAAAAGCTGATTTCAACTTTGTGCCCCTAAAATCACCTCTCCTTACCGTCTCACGACAATCAGCTGTCACCGAGCCTACTACCCATGTTCTTAAACTCAGTTATCTCTGAAAAATCTTTGACTCTGTATCCAATCATTCATAAGGCTGTACTGTCTACTATATTAAATATGACATTTATGTGAGAGCACTTTACAATCTGTAAAGTACTGTCCATGCATGAGGTGATAACACGAATCCACACTCGGAACAGACTTTCAAGGTCATCCCTCAAGCTGGCCTCGTTGGGCTTCTACAGTCTCATCTTCTACCAACTTCTTACCCTGGCTCTCTCCTGCCCCATCATCCGGTGTCTCAGGCAGGCCAACAGAACACATTCCCATATATTCGCCCTGCTTCCCCCAAACCTCTGCCTTCATACGTGCCACTCACTTGCCTCAATTGCTCTTTATTTCAACAGGTGTTTGCAGAGGAGGAAACCCACTGTCTTCTCCTCTCTGTTTCTCCAGAGCCCATCCTACCTTTACGATTTTGACTTCCTCGACATCCCTCAAGCATGCCTCCCTTGGAAGTCGCCTAGGAATGGCTTCTTGAACAGTTGCACAGTACACACAACCTGTTCTCACAGAGTATTTGGGGATTATTCTCTAGGGGGTTTGTACCTCATTTTCCCCTGCTCTTGAACCAAGAGAATAAATGAACGCTCACAATAAATCTCTGCACAAGGACAGAAGTAGGAAAAGCTCCTCCTTCCACAATAAAACATACTTTGCAATCTTTAATGTATCCCTATAGGTAAATTAGCAGCATATTTCACACCTGGGGATGTCTCTAGACACACATTTTACTCAGAAGGAAGCAAAAAGTGGCAGTAAAGATGACTTACCCAGGGAAGGGAAGCAGCAGAGCTGCACCTGCAGCCAAGGGACCTGCCAATGTCCTTTCCACTGCACTCTCCTAAGAAAAGAATGAGGAGCAACTTACATCTCACTTTACAGAGCACTTTAGCAATTTACTCTTTGCTTTCTAGTATGTCAATGATCTCATCTGACATCCTCTTACAAAAGTGTTTAAAAGAAACACCTTATTTCTTTTAAAAGTTCTGAGTGTTCTTGGTTTCTGTCCGGGAATTTTCCGGCCTGGATTTGGCGGTTGGAAAGAAGAAAGGAGGATGAGAAGTTAATAGGAGAGGAAAGGAAGCTGAGAAGATGCCTGCAAGGTTCCCGGAGAGTCCGAGGAATAAAAGGGGCGCCACATTCTCTCTTGGGAGAGCTCCAGCTCGGCAGGACCTTTTACCAGGATCCCCGAGATCGCGCTTGTTTAGGAACCCGCCCCCCCCCCCGCCTCCACCCCATCCGAGGACACGCAGCCAGGCGCCGGGTGGGGGTGGGGGGGCTGCCGCGGTGCGCCCTCCCCGGGACACGCGGGCGCAGACCGCCAGGTGCGCGGGGAGCGGCTCCCCAGGCGCGCAGCGAGCCTGCGGGTGGCAGGGAGCGGGCGCCCCAGGGCACGCCCGCGCCAGCTCCCACGCCCGGCTCCGCCGAGAGCTGGCGAGCCCGGGAGCGGCCGGCTATATAAGTCACCCGGCGCGGGCAGGGCGCACGGGCGCCGCCAGCCTGCGCCCCTGGGTCCTCCTGGCACTAGGGCGCGAAGGCGGGAGGCGCGGCCCGGCTCGGCCCCTCTGCTGCGCTCCGCCTGCAGCCACGGCCGGCGCACCGCCTCCCGCGAAGTCAGGGAGCCGCTTTACTGTCCCGGCGGGACAGGAGCGGAAAGGCAGGGAGAAATTCCGCCCTGTGGGCGCCCGCTCGTCGCTTCGCTCTTTGCGCGAAGATGGCGGCCCGACAGCCTCGGACGTGCCCCCGACGATGCCGGTCAAGATCTTCTCTGCTGGCGTGGCGGCCTGTGTGGCGGATGTGATCACCTTCCCGCTGGACACGGCCAAAGTTCGGCTCCAGGTGGCGAGCGAGATGAGGATGGGGAGGTGTCTCAGGGCAGAGAGGGGACACCTATTCCGTGAGCCCTTTTGATGACGGCTTTGGTTTAACCAACTCCTCGGGTAGGGCGGGTGGCCACCTTAACGGTGTGGGCTGGTCACAGAACTGGATGCAGGGGGGCGGGAAACTGGCACTTCTCCGAGATTAACGGAAGAACCACTAGAAGCCACGGAAGATACGTTGGCCGTGACTACTGCGGAAGCCCCCAAAGTTAGGGTGCACTAAATGTTCTAAGAGCTAAGACTATCAGCGTCTCCCAAGTTTGCAAGTCAGGTTCTTTGACTTCCTTAATTTGGTGGGGGCACCTTCCCATCTGCTGCTTAGGGGTTCTGGAGGATTTATACAGGGAGGGTGGGAATGTTCAAAATTCGCATTGTAGCTAATCTCTCTTCATATATATAGCTAGAGAGATACAGAGATATAGAGGAGATGTTGCTGAGAAGGGAAAACGAACTGAAAATAGGAAAACGGTGGGAAAAATCTTGGCTTGAGGTTTCTCCACAGAGAACAGACAGCCTGTTGCCAGTCTTTGTTTTTTCCTCACCAGGTAGGAACTCCTTACTCAATTTTTACGTCCCTCTGACTTGCACCTTTCTCATTTCCAGATCCAAGGTGAATGCCACACCTCCAGAGCCATTAGGTATAAAGGTGTCCTGGATACAGTCACCACTCTGGCAAAAACTGAAGGGCCAATGAAACTCTATAGTGGGCTGCCTGCTGGTCTCCAGAGACAAATAAGCTTTGCCTCTCTTAGGATCGGCCTCTACGACACCGTCCTGGAGTTCTTCAGCACAGGGAAAGAAAGTAAGCAATGAGCATTCCTGGGAGGGGCAGACAGCCAGAGACATGCCCTGGGCCCAGCTCTGTTCAAGCAATGTTATGTGCAGGGGTGGTCTTCATAACAAATTGGCAAGCAGACAGCCAATATTAGCTTGGTACTCACTGTTCATAGAAAGAAAAGGAAATGTGCAAAATCAATTTTTCAGATGCAGATTTATACTTATAAAAATCACCTGGTCAGTCGTGGAAGCTTTGGGCCTAATTTGGATATCCATCTGGAGAAGATGGATGGGCTGCAGAAAAATGTTTAACTCAAAGTTCTGCAAACGGTCAAAGAGGATGACCTTCCCCGATAGAGGAGGACCATTCTTTGGTCAATGGTATAGGAGTAGCTGCACTCCCCTGCTAGAACTCCCAAACAAGCTCTCAAGTCCATTTGTAGGAAAATGTAGGGTAGTCAGGCTTCTAAGACTCCAGACACATCCAAATGAGGTGCTGCATGTGGCAGTCTGTTTTGCTTTAAAAAAAAAAAAAAGTGACCTTAGGATTACATAACTTTATGGGACAAGTTATAAATATTAGTTATACAAACATATAATGAGTTTATTCTATACAGTTTCAAAGTAAAGTCTAGATGCTTTGAGATCCATACTGCATTGTCCTATTTGTAGATGTAGCAAGAGAAGAATCACAAAAGACATAAAGCTGTCCATTCTGGTAGTTTCCTTCACAGTTGACTGTTCTACCCAATTGTTGAGTACTTTAGATACTAAATTAATAGGACATATTTTGGCAGTACTCTATGTTATGCCTATTCCTCACATTTCATTAGCTTTATTGAGCTGCCATGTGCCAGAAACTGCTGGATGCGTAGATTATGGATATCTGTCTAGGCAAGAGCTATGAGCTGTGAATAGGTCAATAGGTGAGGATGTGCTGTGACACATGCTCTGTTAGAAGTAATGACAGGACGTTGGGCACATGGAAGAGGAATATTTTACCTAGCCTTGGGGGCATGGTCGGGCAAGATTTTCCTGAAGAACTGATGTCTGAATCAAATCTTGAAAGACCAATAGGCGTAGTAAGGTGAAGTGGTGAGGAAAGGCCTTCCAAGTAGAGCGAAGGTCATGTACAAAGGCTCAGAGAGGAGTGGCAAGAACACACAGGGCAGAGAGGGAGGACTAGGAGGGAGAGGTGAAGCCAAGGCAGGAAGGAGCCAGATCACAAAGGACCTTGCAGACTATGCTAAGAAGTTTAGATTTTGTCCTTACAGTGATGGGAAGTCATTGAAAAATGTTAAGCAGGAAAGTGGCCTAAACAACTTATATTTTTGAAAGATCACTTTGGCAGCAGTAGCTAGAGGATATATAGAAAAAGGGTAAGAAGGGGGTAAGTTGGAAAGTAAGAAACGATCAGGGTAGGCTACAACAATGGCAGCAGGGAAGAGAGATCAGAAAGATTTAGGAAGTGTAGCTGCCTGGACTTCGAAGGCAGCTGGTGTAAGGGAAAGGCTGGGATGGAGGATGGCCTCTGAGGTTCTGGCTAAAGGTACCATTCACAGAGGGAAGGAATATGGAAACTGTCTTAGGGGGAAGGTAAGACATGCATATGAAGATGTGTCAACAAGTAGCATCCAGTCAACACGTGAGCTTAGGAGAAATGTCTGGGATAGACTCCAGGGAGTTGCAGGAGGAACCATCAGTTGGGTCAAACAGAGCAGAGAGATCTAGTGTGAAAAGGACAAAACATGATGGATGTGCCTAACAGCAGGAGCCCATGGGTCTCCTTCGCCAAAACATCAAAGGGGAGTACTGGAGATGGAAGCTGGATTGTGGAGGATTGAGGAGGAACTATGAGGAGACCCATGAGAAGTGAAGACAGAAAATGTAGCCTCTCCCTCAAAAGGCTTGACGGGGAAATGAGAAACGGACTGGAGGACAGGATGAGTGCATCAAAATAAGATTATAAATGTGGGCCCAAAGTGAAGGGAATTGTAATCATACTATCTTGCCAATTAAAAGATGGTTATCTATTGTACGCTCAGCTCCTGGACAAGTATGAGGAGAAAAGAGGACAATCATATGGTTATGAAAAGAACTTATGTACTTTCTATGTGCAGGACAGTATGTTATGTGCTATATTGATATTATTTTAACTCACACAATAACTCTATGAAATAGATATTGTTATTTCCATTTTACAGATTGGGAAACAGACAGACTGAGAAAGTCCTTGATGAGTAAATGTTCTTGGTCCATACGTCAATGATAGAAATGAGCCTGGGGGAGGAAGGCTCCAAGACTATGTATAGTTTATTAAATAATATCTGTCTTGAGTAATCTAAGTTTATTTTTCAAATTTTCAAATCAAAAATCACTTTCTTCACTTCTTTCTATTTTTGTTGCCTTTGTAATCTGTTGTAGCCTAATACCACTCAACATCCCATCTGGGGGCAGTTAATCCACTTGGGATTTTCCTAAGACCCCTAAGTCCAATAAATAACATTACCATCCATAAGAGGAAGGCTGAGCATCATTGGTGACTGGTACCTACTCCCAGTTGGAAAAAAACTGAAGAAGAGAGCTAGCTATAGGAAAGAACTAAGCACTGTTTAAATAGGCATTGTGTTTTCTTTGTCCTTGAAAGTCTTCATTTATTTATTTTTTAATTCTAGTCAACTTTGAAGTTTCTAGCCCTAAAGTGATTTAGTACATACTCAGTACATGATCATCACATGCACAAGCATTAGGGAAATAGAAAAGATATAAAGAGACAGTAATACTAACCACTAAAATTAAAAAAGACATATAGAGTTGCACTCTGGGTCTTGTTTTTTGTTTTTGTTTTTCATTTTTGCTTGATAAATATCTTTTCTCTCCGGATAGCAACAGCTAGTTTAGGAAGCAAGATCGCAGCTGGTCTGACGACTGGAGGAGTATTCATTGGGCAACCCACAGAGGTCGTGAAGGTCAGACTTCAAGCACAGAGCCATCTGTATGGTCTCAAACCTCGCTACACTGGGACTTACAATGCTTACAGAATCATAGCGACAACGGAAGGCCTGACAGGCCTTTGGAAAGGTAACTGACTTCAAGGTGAATCTGATAATTATTAAGACACATATATCCTGTTAGCACCTTATCATATAATGGAGCTATTATACATTTTCTTTTTTCTAGGGACTACTCCCAATCTGACAAGAAATGTCATCATCAATTGTACAGAGCTAGTTACATACGACCTAATGAAGGAGGCCCTTGTGAAAAAGAAACTCCTAGCAGGTAACTTCCTCCTAGATATGTAACCTGTGAGTCTGCACATTTACAACTTCATCCTGGAGGTTCTCTATCTGCATTGTACTGAATCCCTTAATCGTAACAGTTAAAAAAATTAAGTAATTTTGAACACTAGATAGAACTTTTAAGCAAACAAAACAAACCAAAAACAAAAACAAACCAAAACCCCAAAAGGCTAACTTTTAGAAGTTTTGCTGCAACCAATTTTTTTCTGCAACAAAGAGAAAGTGTAATTATATTCTTACATCAGCATTATTCTCATTTAATTATAATATATGGGACTTTGGTTAGCCTCTTATTCTTTATATAGCGTAACTCGGGAGGTGAGTCCATCCCACACTATAGCCAAATGTACTGGTTATGTAAGGAGCTCATCAGTGTTTTCATCCAAAAAGTAGCACCGTTGGATAGGTTCCTAAGATAGTCTAACAGGTTCTAGAGATATTGAAATTCTCCCTGGACAATGACTTTAATTCAATAAAAAAGTATTAGATGCCTATGTCTCAGGCATTATGCCATACCCTAAGGGCACAGAGCAGACTGACAGGTTATTTTATTTTATTTATTTATTTTTTAAGATTTTATTTATTTATTCATAAGAGACAGAGAGAGAGAGAGGCAGGCTCCCCGCTGAGCAGAGAGCCCGATGCGGGACTCGATCCCGGGACTCCAGGATCATGACCTGAGCCGAAGGCAGACGCTTAACCATCTGAGCCACCCAGGCGCCCATGACAGGTTATTTTTTTAATCACATCACTGTGCCATGTACTCTTTGTCATCTTTTTTGGTAAGGGTAAGTAAAACCTTCCTTATTATATTTTATTTATTTATATAAAGACATCCACGTTGGTCTCCTGATATCATCAGGTTTCCAAGGATCTGATAGATAACTAAAAACTAGAAGCTTCTTCCCAAAGTCTGCTGCTGACTTGTTTCATTGATCCATTTTAGACGACTTACCCTGCCACTTCGTGTCAGCTCTTATTGCTGGATTTTGCACAACAGTCCTGTCCTCGCCAGTGGATGTGGTAAAAACCCGATTTGTTAATTCTCCACCAGGACAGTACACGAATGTGCCCAACTGTGCCATGACAATGCTCACTAAGGAAGGACCGTTGGCTTTTTTCAAAGGGTAGGATATGGTCTTCCCTGTCTATAATGCTGTGTTCAGGCCATCTGTGTGCTTTGGGATGCTTTCTTGTCTAAATAGTTGACCAGCCTTAGTCTTTGCCGTATGCTTAGTGTCTATTTTTCTTTGCCATAACGATCTCCAATTCGCTAATTCCACTGGGCCAGAAAATGGAAAACTGATATTAAAATTTTCTCAGCCTTGATCAGAGGCTCACTTAAATTCAGTGACCTTTCCCTTGGTCCCAATCTATTGGGAATGTGGACAGGATTTTGCCTGATCAGGGCTAGAGAACTATATAACGTGGAGGGAAAGCATAATAAAGGGCTATAAGAAAACAAGATGTGATTTTCACTATTCAAATAATTTTTTTAATTTTAAGTTTTTATTTTAATTTGTTAGTGCTATATTAGTTTCAGGTGTACAATATAGTGAGTCAACACTTCCATACATCACCCAGTGCTCATCACAAGTGTACTCCTTAATCCGCATCAACCATTTAACCCATTCCCCTGCCCCCCTCCCCTCTGGTAACCATCAGTTTATTCTCTATAGTTAAGAGTCTGTTTCTTGATTTGTCTCTCTCTCTTATTATTTCCCTTTGCTTGTTTTTTAAATTCCACATATGAGTCAAATTATACAGTATTTGTCTTCTCTGACTGACTCACTTCATTTAGCATTATACTCTCTAGCTCCATCTGCATCATTGCAAATGGCAAGATTTCATTCTTTTTTATGGCTAAATAATATTCCAGTGTGTGTGTGTGTGTGTGTGTCTTCATCAATCAATGGACACTTGGCTGTTTCCATATCTTGGCTATTGTAAATAATGCTGCTATAAACATAGGGGTGCGTGTATCCTTTTGAGTTAGTGTTCTTGTATTCTTTGGGTAAATATCCAGTAGTGTGATTGCTGAAATTTTCACTATTTTAACTTGATGGACTCAGATTTTTTGACTGCATTAAAGTAAAACTAGAGACAAATCATTGCCACTGACCTAGAAAAGTCAAGCAGAAAATGATGTGGTTTGGATAATTTTTACACTCACCTTGAAACTAGTATGGTGTAGTAGATCACATTTCCCATTAAGCAGTATTACACTGGATACTACCTTCCTAAGAAAATACAGTATGAACTAATGTATGGATACACTCTATAAGGGTTAAACTAGTGATAATATAGCAACTTCTATAACCATTTACAACTGTAAGGCAATGCCTCAGACTATAAAATAAGCATAAATGCACCATACACATATACACAAGGTTTTCAATTCACCATAATCAGCACTAATGATACATTAATACAAATGAAATATATTATAAAATTAATTTAGAATGGATATCTCAGTTATTAACCATTAACCATTTAACAATATTTTTATTTTTTTCAAACTTGAAACCTTTTGGGGATATATGCTGCAACAAGGATGAACACTGAAAACATTATGCTGAATCAAATGGGCCAGACACAGGACAAATATTGTATGATTTCACCTATGTGAGGTATCTAGAGTAGTCAGATTCAGAGACAGAGGTGGAATGGTGATTACCAGAGGCTGAGGGGAGGTGGGGGGGTAGGGAATTATTGGTTTGATTTTTTTTTTAGATTTTATTCATTTATTAGAAAGAGTGTGAGAGCACGAGTGGGGGGTGGGGGGAAGGGCAGACAGAGAGGGAGAAGCAGACTCCCCATGCTGAGCAGGAAGCCCGACACCGGGCTTGATCCCAGGACCCCGAGATCATGACTGACCCAAAGGCAGATGCTTAACTGACTGAGCCACCCAGGTGCCCGGGAATTACTGTTTAATAGGTAGAGTTTCCAGTTAGGGATGACCAAAAGGTTCTGGAGATGGGTAGTGGTGATGGTTGCTCACAATGTGAATGTACTTTATGCTACTGAATTATACACTTAGAATGGTTAAAATGGTAAACTTATGAACATTGTACCACAATTAAAATACACACCCCCCCCACCAGGAGTCAGGAGAAGTATGTTGAGACCTTAAAAACAACAACAACAACAACAACAAAACAAAACAACCCCCCCCTGCAAAAACCTTCGGGGCATGATTTTTATAGGCCAGATCTCTTTTAAAAACTCTATCCAAGGCAGATTTAACTGATGACATCTTTTTCTCCCGAATGTCTCATTGCTGCAAACAGGCATTCAAAATCAATCATTTGGTCTGCACAGTTTGACAGCATAACAAACAAAACAAAACAAAACAAAAACAAACCATCCAAAACCCAAAAACCAAAAAGAAAAAAATGCCCTTAGTTCCTTGACACTCTTAGGCTGAGAATTGCCAAGATCTGGACAGCACTAATTTCTTCACTTTGGAAAATGGTCCACTTACTCATCGCTTTTTCTTTGCTTTCTCTTCCTCCTCTTTCTTTTCTTTTCTTTTTAAAAGATTTTATTTATTTATTTGGGAGAGAGAGAGAGAGCATGAGAGAGGGGAGGTCAGAGGGAGAAGCAGACTCCCTGCCGAGCAGGGAGCCCGATGCGGGACTCGATCCAGGGACTCCAGGATCATGACCTGAGCCGAAGGCAGTCACCCAACCAACTGAGCCACCCAGGTGCCCTCTCCTCCTCCTCTTTCAACAGTTTCCTACCTCCCATTCAGAAAGCAGAGCGAAAGAAAGCAAAAATTTCCCCGCTCCTCAAAAAAGGCGAGTTATTGGGAAATGCCCTTTCAGAAAGGACACATGCTTTGGTGCGGTGGGAATGAAGGCCGTTTATGTATTTGGATAGACGTGATCATCTGGGTTTTGTTGTTCTGAAGCAGTATTAGACAGCTAGATGAAACATTATCTTAGGCATCGCTGGCAAGGTGAGGAATAGGTACTTTTAAGTGCCTAAATTTACGTGAGAAGAGTGTGCGATGAGAAGCAGAAGCTGTTTGTGTGATAATAGCTTTTTTTAAAATATATTTTTTAAAGATTTTATTTATTTGACACAGAGAGATAGCAAGAGAGAGAGAAAGAGCACAAGCAAGGAGAGTGGCAGGCAGAGGGAGAAGCAGGCTTCTTGCATGAGCAGGGAGCCCGACTCGGGGCTCGATCCCAGGACTCTGGAATCATGACCTGAGCTGAAGGCAGCGGTTTAACCAACTGAGCCACCCAGGTGCCCCTGTGTGATAATAGCTTTAAGAATTCTAACAAACTAGGGACGCCTGGGCGGCTCAGTCGGTCAGGTGTCTGCCTTCGGTTCAGGTCATGATCCCAGGGTGCTGGGATCGAGTCCCGCATCGGGCTCCTTGCTCAGTGGGGAGCCTGCTTCCCCCTCTGCCTGCCACAACCTCTTCTTGTGTGCTCGCTCTCTCTCTCATTCTCTCTGACAAAAAAAAAAAAGAATTCTAACAAACTCAAGAGAATGGTGACATGCCCTTTTCTAGATTTGTACCTTCCTTCTTGCGACTTGGATCCTGGAACGTCATTATGTTTGTGTGCTTCGAACAGCTGAAACGAGAACTGATGAAGTCAGGGCAGACCGTGAACTGTGCCACATAATCACCTTCAGGAAAAAGTGGTGACATACCAGTGGGAATCTTTGCTGACCGGGTAACTCAAACACGAAAACAAAACACCTATTCCCTTTATTTCACCCTAAGCAGATAAAGGAATTCTGATACAGAGTTTTGGACTTTTTAAAGAAAAGTTAATATTTATTTCTTGTGACTTTTATTCTCTGTGTTTTTGGAAGGAGAAAGCAAAATGCTCAGTACGCAGTCTGGCACATGCAATGTGCAAATAAATAAGTGACTGTATTTGATTGGCTCTTTTGAGAAGGTGGGAGTCTCGCGATTGAACATGAAGAAATTTAACATGCTTTAATTATAGTTCAAGTTGACAGGAGAGGAAAACTGAGTGGTGCATTTTATGTTTATAAACACTTAAACATGAACAGTTACCAAGGAAAATGCTATTTCCATTTAATGTATTAACCCAGTGGTCAGTTAATATATCCAGTAAAGTACTGCTAATACCTCTGAAAGTTTGCCATTTTGGATCCATCTCTGAATGTAAAACTTGCAGTTCACCTAGATTACAAAACTGCCCAATAGCAAGTGAAGGTCTTTAGAATCAATAGGCATAAATTTACTTTAAATGTAATTGGTACAGATTTTTAATTTGGGGAGTCTATATTTTATGGCACTTATAACAACTTCTAAGACACTATAATCATTATTAGAATCGTGATATCTACCCCAGAATTCCAGAATTTTTGAGCCAGAAGGTACCTTCGGTTAGACAGAAGGACAGTCTGAGATTCCTAGGGAGATAGAAACCAGTCTTCATGGCACCTTTCCAGCCAAGCTAAATTCATCCTTAACACCTGCAGTAACCTTTTTCTCGTGTTACAAGCCGAGTGCAGAAGAAATAGGGAAAGAATAAACAAGAGAGTAAAAAAAGAGGTATAAGACAAAGCCCAGGCTTGTTTTAAGCCAAAACCAAAGAATGGCGGAAGGGCCAGGAAGCCCACAGGCTGTCAGGCAGCATTCTATTCGTTTTCATCAGCTCCACATTCTACTACTGTTGTGTTTTCTTCCCCTTGACTTTATGAGGTTCCCCCGGTGCTTATTTCCCCTGCTGTTACCTGTAAAATGGTCTTGTAGCAGATGTCTGCGATCTCCCTCACCTGTCACTTTGATCGCACCATCCGGCGCATGCGGGCCTGACTTCCGGTCGTCACGTCAGCATCTCTGTAGGGTCTTCCGGCCGTCAGAGCCATCTTTGTGCGCCTGCGCGTGGCACGATGGATGAACAGCGAGCACAACACACCCCGGGAGCGGCCCTTGCCCAGTAACTGATGGGAGTTTTTATATAAATAGTCCCCTCACCCTCACCCAGGGACTCAAAATCCTGTTACACAGTATTATTTTGCTTAATACAAAACCCTTTATGGGATGACTTCAATTCCCTCACTCCCTTACCAGTGTTTCCTGGGATCACCTCCCAAATGAATGACAAATCCTTATCTTAAGGTCTGATTCTGGGGGAATCCAAACTACAACAGACCACAACCTTAGAATAGCATGTTTCTGTCAAGAATACGGAAGAAAACATAGAAGTTCGTTTCTTTGCTGTCAGGCAGTAGGCGGTAGTGACAAGATGCTCCCCCTTCATCAAACCTTATAGTCAGGCTTCTCTGAGCTGCCTTTTTCTACTAAATCCTTCTTAGGCATGTCTACAAGGGCGCAATTTAACAAGAATCGGGCTAAGAATCCCTCACCCTTGATAAATGATCAAAAATTCCTCCTCTACCCTTGATATCAGATCAGTTCTCTTGGGATTTTCTATGTACACATTTATATCATCTATGAATAATAACTTTACCTTCCTCCCATCCACTTGTTTTATTGTACTAGGTAGGACTCTAGCACAATTTTGAATAGATGTGCTGTGACAATTTGGATTATTCATCAAATGTTCACTCCTTAGCCCTTCCTTAGAGTACATTTCCCTGTTCCATTGATGTTGGACTTGACCATGTGACTTGCTATACGACCAAGGGAATGTGAGTGAGCAAAGGCTTGAAATACCTGTGAGCCATTGGGCTTGTTCTTGTGTTTCTGCTGCACCATTAAAGAGCATGCCTCAGGTAGCCCATTGGTCCCAGATGAGTAGATCACATGGAGCTGACAGGAACCGAACCCATGACCTGTATTTAAGGCCAGCTGAATCCAGCGGAGATTAGCAAAGCTGCCTGGTTAGCCTACCCATGTGTGAGGAGGGAATGCTTTTTTTTTGTATGCCACTAAGATTTTGTGTGATTGGTTGTTACACGTTGTTATTGTGGCAAAAACGGATGGATACAAGTGGTGACATCCTTTCTCAATTCTCATCCCCATGTTTTACCATTAAATATATTTGCTATTGTTCATTTTATAGATAAATTTTGTAAAATTAAGGTAACCCCTTTCTATTTCTTATTTGCTAAGTTTTTAACATGAATGGATGTTGAATTTTTATCAAATGCTTTTTCTGCAACTTTTAAGATTATGTGATTTTCAAATGCTAATGTGGTAAATTTCATTAATATTATTCTGGGAATTAACCCACCTGAGTTATAACTGATCACACATTAAAACAGCATATCTATATGTAGTTCATTATTGATTTAATATATTTATTTCTGGATTTCAGTATGCTTCTATTTTATTTAGCATTACAGCATCTAAAATGACAGTGGCATATAATTACTCTTTTTCATTCTGTTCTGGTTGGACTTGAGTCATCAGAATTATGAGTTTCATGAATTACAGGGTGTCCACCCTTTATGTAGAAGAGATTGTGAAAACTGTCATTATTTTTTTCTTAAATGTGTTAATTCACCAGTGCAAGCCACACAGGACTGTAGGTTTTTTAATGGAAAGATTTTAAATTGCTGAATCCACATAACAATGCTAGGACTTTTTGCTTCCCTATTTCTTCTTGTACAGTTTTGTTTTGGTAATAAGCATATTTTTCTAGAAATGTTTATATTTCATCTAAATTTTCAAATTTTTGAGGTTATCCTTAATATATTTTCTTTTCAGTATTTGCAGGATCTGTAGTGATGTTTCATATTTAATTCTTGATATCATTATTTGCTTTCTTCCTTATTCTTAATTTATCTCACCAAGGTTTATCAGTATTACTAGTCTTTTCAAGCAACAGCTTTTTACTTTTGTTGATTCTATGGTATGCATTTCTATTCCGTGCATCTGGGCTCTTGCCTTTAGTATTTCCTTTATTTTCTTTAGGTTTATTTTGTTCTTTGCCAAACTCCCTGAGATGATTGCTTTGTCTTTAGCTTTCAGCCATTCTTTTTTCAATACATACATTTAAAGCTGTAATTAGTACTAACATAGTACTGCTTTTGCTGTATCCAACCAGTGACATATGTACTATTTTTGTTTAGTTCAAAATAAGACACATACACACACACACACACACACACACACAGAGGAATGCTCTGCAGCTGTATATAAATCGAATAAGGAAGCTATGTATTAATATAAAAATGTGTCTAAGATTCATTGCAAAGTTAAGTTAAACATACTGCAGTGCAGTATGAATTATTCCTATCCTTTGTAAGAATGGGGGGTGGGAGTGGCAGCTTCTTTTCTGGTCTCATAACCAATTGTTGTTACCAGTAACATCTTAAATAGGTAATTAATGGATGAGTTAAAGTCATAAAAATAAAAATTTTCTGTATATTCTGATTCATCTATAGGAACATGATTAAAGGATTAAATAAGAAAGACACTATTTCATGAACATAAATGACTTAAATAAGGGATGGGGAGGAAGGGAAGAGATGGAAGGATTAGGAGAAAGGCTTATATAACAATTTTGACACATTTTTTATTTGTTCACAACATTCCGAACAAAATGACATCACATTTCAACTATTGCTTTTACATAAGAAGTTAATTGTTTTATCCAAAGTAGACAAAAATCTATTTCTTTAAGTTGCCAACCAGCACTTTTTCCTCCAGGGAAAGCCACTGCTCGTTTTTTGAATACATTAACAGAAACACAGAATTGCCCTATAATTTAAAAAAAAAAAAAAGAACTGTCCTATAATAGTTGGGTCTTAGCTGAACTACATTTAAACTTTTTCTTGTCAAAAGCTGAAGCCAGAAAAAAACAAAACAAAACGAAATGAGCTCACTCGTGATTTCGCTCAGATGTTTAATAAGTCCATTAATCTTCGTTAACAATCTGCTTGTGTGGAGAGGTTCATAAATGTGAAAATGGAAAGTAAGCGTCCCCAGAGTTGTTCATAGAGAAGCTGGGTGGACCATTTATCCTGAGAAAACAGCTGCTGGCCCCCAATCATTAATTCAAGGAGGATAATAAACATTACTGCCCTCCAGGCCAAACCTCTTCTCTTCCGTGCCATGACAGTGTGTAATCTTTCCTGCTCTGGCAATGAGCATTCCACTTTTCACTCATGTAATGCTGCTCCTTTGAGCAAATCTTTGACCGAGTTCAATTTCACTGAATGCAAAGGTGAGAAACAGTACATAAACAATTATTAATACTGAAATAAAAACGAAGACTACATATATTTTTCACATAGAAAAATACATACAAATCCAAGTAGTTGTTAAAACAGAAAAAAAACCCAGGATGGGCATTTTCAAGAAAAAGATCTTGTTTTCTAAACTGGTGCCAGTAAGACACTGATTTTATATCTAACTCTACCACCATATATACATACAAAGAGAGGCTGGTCTAGGTTCACTGATACACTGATATCCCCTGATTTCTCCTATTTCCTTAAAGATTGTCTTTCAGAACGTAGTTGAACTACAACCAGTGTAATCGTATGTTTACACTATTCCTGTCACTGGCACACTCTCTTCGATCTGGCACACACAAAAATTCATTTCAACATCGATTCACTTTTCTGATGCTAAAGCAAACATAATTTTCCTGCTACTTCAATTCTATCACTACTTTGGTATTTCATTCATTATTACAGAAACAGGTAAGATTCTAAATATGGATTTTAAGACTACGTAAAATTCTAACATACATAGGTTGAAAGCAAGGAAAAGTAGGAAGGTAGACACAATTATGTTTTTCTTTTCATGTATGTCACTATGTTACATTCTAATTTACAAGCGGGGACATTTAGCTTGGCTTCCAGACTATCAAACAGTTAGATTTTATTGGTAGCTTTTAGACCAATTCACTACAGAATTTCTGAAATGGTTACTGATTATTTTAAGCAAAAACAGGACAATATCTGTACTGTATAAACAGAGTTCATTTAAAAACCGTATTATTGACCAAACTTTCTAATGACATTCTTAAAAAATTAAAGTTTTTTTCCTCCCTAGAAGGGGAAACTTATTTAAAAAGTTTCCCCTTTCATAATTGGATCATTCTTTATTAAGCATACTGACAAAGGTTTAAATCAGCTCAAGACCTCAGCTGTTGAAAGATTAAAATATAAAGGTAAGTATTTTTAGCATGGAAATTAAACTAACAGAATTGCTTTCCATGTAAGAGTAAACACTTAATATATAAAATGAACTTTAATGGTTAGCACCTGATCCTTACCAGGATTTTGCTACATCTCCTAGAACTCTAGAGCTGGATAATAAAACATTGAAAACATTTAAAAAAATTAAAAAAAAAAAGATAATCCAAAGTTTGCGAAGTCCCCTACAGGAAACCAAAACCAATTTTTAAATTCCTGTGATACTGAGACGCTAAACCACCATGATTATAATAAAATGAACCCAATTTTTAAAAGTTTTATCCTGTTGAGAAAATAATAGTTTTAATGCTGCGTTCTCAATGTACGTGCTGTCCAGCACTGCATCTGTTATTTTTCCACTCGGATATTTTTTATCACTCTTCTCTTTGGCAAGTTTGCAGAGAGACATGAACAAATAGTGCAAGTCTCAGGTCTTGCCATACCACAGGAGTTAGTCCTTAAACATTTGATATATACCACGTTAAAAGATGCGCTAACTCTCATCATGTTTAAATTATGTCTCTAACAGGCTGGTTTCTGTAGCATTTAAGAAGAACTTAGTAATTAGACATATCTTTAAACTCTTTTAGTTTTGCTAGGAGTACAAATTTCTAAAACACATAAGGAAGAAATTATTCCCGTTAGAATCTCATCATTCTGTAATCCTTGACAGCACTTGATGCCCTCCTGAGATTTGAGGAGAATAAAGCTATACAAAATGCACAGTCATCATCCTCGGGCTACTTTAGAATCCCACAGACCATTAACTTAAAGAATACCCATAAAGTCCATACACCATTCTCTAGAAACACTC